TCGAGCGTCACTTTGGTCACTCGAGCGGACTGTAAAATTCGAAAAACTACTGAGAGCTCGATTTTCACGCTCGAGTGAGACTTTCCTCGCTCGAGCGGATAACACAAATTCTGAAATTTCTAAAATTGTAATTAAAGTTCATATTTGATATTCAAAACCTCAAAACATGTATTTTTAGTACACAAAAATGAAAAATCAGTGTATGATTTAGTAAACACTTCCAATTAGAAAACATTCAACCAAAATCATGTTCCAATTGCCCAAATTTAATTTTAATTTATCTTATTAATATCAACCCACAATTCTAAGATACAAATTAGGCTTTCCAATTCTTAAAATTGCATGATGCATGTGTGATTGAATTCAATTTCATACAAGACAAATAAATTCAAACCCCAAAGGGTTATTTTCAAATTAACTTCTAAAATTTTGAATCTACTTCAATTTCTACACCATTTTACTAATTCCTTTTAATGTACATGAAATTGAAGTTATATGACCCTTAGGAAAATATTTGCATGTATGACATTAAGATTAAAACTAATTAATTTTTTCTACATTCAAAATTAACTCAATGTTTAATTTTCCATAAACTTGATTCTTCTTATAAAATTTCTTCCTTCTTCTCTTCAAAACATGAAATTGTTTGCCTTAAGTTCCTCAAAATCCAAAATGCATGTATAAAATACTTACCAAATCCAGCCAATTTTTACATCATCAAGCTCAATTTATAATTTGACTTCTTAATTTATATCATAATTTAATCTCAAACTCATAAACTTTAAAATATGAATTAAATTCTAAAATCTTGAAAACTTACCATGCATGTAATGGAAAACTTCAAATATGTGAAGGATGAAGTAAATCAAGCTCAAATATTTAATCTCAACATCAATTTCTTAATAATTACCTTCTAATTTATTTTCCATAAACTTGATTTTTATATGCAAACCCAAATCTTAACAATTCATAATATCTACAAAGCTTTATTTTTAATTCCTTCAAAATTCATGATGTATGTATCAATCTAGTCTACATTCCTTTCCATAGCTTTCAAATTATAAGATTGAACTTCAACATAACTCAATCCTAGAATGCATGTAACATATAATTTCAAAATCCAACATATTCTAGTATGTATGTAAGGAATCACCTTCTTCTTAACATGCTCAAGCAAAATACATGTAATGGCCTATAAATCCAACTCTATACCATAGGATCTTCAAGTTTTGAGAGACAAATCCTTACCTAGAGTCTTCATAGACATTTAATCTTGCATAATTTTAACAAATCCAAGCCAAACTTGAGTTTTTCCTTCCTTTTCTTCACTTTTCCCTTGGTTTTCCTTCAAATTTCCAGCAAAGATTTAAGGAGTTGAACTCTCCCTCATTTACGGTTCTCTTTTTCTCACCCACGGTTGTCTCTCTCTTTCTCACGGTTTTGCACCAGCAGATTAATTACATTGCATGCAAAAACAATGAAGCTCTCTCTCTCTCTTTGGTTCTCTCTTTTCTCTTTTCTCTTTTCTCTTTTCTACATGTTTGAGTCTAACTTCCCAGCACATGTATTACACACACACAACTTCTTTTGAGGCACCACACTACACACGTGCACAGATCCAATGCTGCCAGCGCAACAACAATATACACATATTTGGTTTCTCTGCACACCCACACACACTCACAATTCTAGATCCTTCTTAACTTGATTTATGATTAAGATTAGATTAATTAAATAACACGTAGTCTTTATAAATCTTATTTAACACGCAAATAATTAATCATAACAAATCATAATTTTCATAATTTAATTAGTCTAATTTGACTTCCATTAAGACCCAATTAATTTTATTTAAATTTATCAATTCGAATCGGATTTTTAGTCTGACTCCCAAAAGGCTCCAAATATTAAATTAAATATATTATCATTATCAATTTGATTTCCCAAATCATTAGGCCTTCAATTTCTGATCAGACTCAAATTTCTAACAGTAAATTACATATTCAAATTGGACGTTCTATAAATGACTTTAATTCGCAATAATCACAATTCTCAATCCTCATAATCTAATTAACTTAATTAACCCCAATTCGAACCCAATTTTATTGAATCTCAATTTATTAATCTGAATCGAATAGTTAATTAAATTTCTGCACAGTCCGATATTCGAAATTAAAATAGCTTAATTCACTAATTATACTCTCTTGAGCCATTTGGGCATTCTATTTCTAATCCCAAAATAAATCCTCAATAGAATCATGTATGAGTCAATCTCCATAATTTTCGTAAATCCCAAATTAACTATAATGCTCGGCAATTAAATTTCAAATCCTCTTAATTAATCAAGTACTAATCATTATACGTAATGGGATCGTTACAGCCGGCGTGACAAAACCCTAGCGCCGTCACGTCGTTGCTGTGACTACCGGAGCTAGGGTTTTCACTTTTTTTTCTAGAGGTTTTCAGTATTTTTTTAATAAATAATAATAATAATTAAGCATTTTAGCCATTACTAAAATAAATTTTATATTAATTAATAGTAATTAATAATTTTAGTATTAATTGATTACAAAAAGCCATTTGTAACAATTTAGATTTTTAATTATTCTGTAAAATTTATACTAATATTATTTAATCTCAGTTCAGAAAATATATAATTTATTATATATTATTATGTGTAATTTTGTAAAATAATATAATTATTAAAAGTTTAAGGGTCAAAATATAAATAATAATAATAATATAGATAATATAAATAATAATAATAATAGGTGTGGTACTAAAATAAATAATTAATTTTTTATTGATATATAATAAAGTATAATTTAATTAGGAATAAATTTATTTATATAATTATATTAAAATATTGATTCAAAGAATAATTATGTTAAATATTCATTAAAGATAAGAATGAATCTATATAATTATGAATTAAATCTTAACGAAAGAAACGTCTCGCCACGTGTTGACCGGCTGTCCGGCTGTCCGGCTGTGGCTTCTCTTCCCTATTTAAGGGAGGAGATGATCAACTTGCGTGAAGGTAAGGAAAAGAAGAAAGGAAAAGAAAGAAGAAAAAAAAGGAAAGAAAGAAAATAGAAGAATAAGGAAAAAATAATTAAAGTTAAGTGGGTCTTTGATAGTGGAAAAGAAAGAGTGAGGTATTAAAGATAAGGTGAGTTATATTGTACCTTGAGTTACCAAAATATATTTTACATATGTTTTGACTTACCATATTTATCTTATACAAGTTATATTTTATAAATTATTATAAATTATATAAATTATATAAATATTTCAGTTACGTGGTTTATTTTCTGACCTCTATTTGTGAAAAGAAAACTCATGGATATGTTTGTTTATATTTTAAAGAATATTTGACTATAACTTTATATATAATTATGTTTTGTAAGTACCACCACGAGCGTCCCACGTCTTGGGGGACTTAAATAACCATGAGCCTCTGTTTAACCACTTTGTGGTCCTCTGTTTGTCACGGATTCATTAATCTCTATTTTGTACGGAGCAAAGTACTGTACGGAGCTAAGTGCTACACTATTGTGGGAGCCACCTCTAGAATCCGTATGAGCCACCTCTTAAATCCGTACCTCTGTTCTGTGCGGAGCAAAGTGCTGTACGGAGCTAAGTGCTACACTATTGTGGGAGTCACCCCTAGAATCCGTACGAGCCACCTCTTGAATCCATACCTCTATTCTGACTGTCACTTTTGTGACCTCTGTTCTGTTCTGTTCGGTACCGTGGTTATGGTCATTTACTTACATAATTTCTGTATTTCAATTTCTGTCACTTAAATGATCTGTTTACCAAATTACCGTGGTTATGGTTATTTATTTACATAATCTCAATTTTGCTACTTAAAGGATTATTTGTTCCGACTAAGTTATGTAAATGTTTTGGCCTAACTAACTATCCATGGTTATTTCGTGTCCCTTATACTCTTGGTATAATATTTCTCACTCTGCCATGTGGTTATAGTTGTTTACTAATTTTTAGGAAATATGTAATTCAGAAATAACTTTTGAAAAGTCTTAGATGCGAGGTTGCGGAATAGACACACACAACACTTTTATAATATTTTTATATGTAAATATCGGCCTTTTTGGTCAATGTATTTTGTAATAAAAATGGAAGCTCCGATGATTATTTTGGTACCCTCATTTAAATATTACTTCAGCTCGCATTTATTGATTTGTTTAAGAATTGGCCGAAAGTAACCTCAGTTACTGGCCATCACGATACTTAACCCTTGGGTACGGGGAGCAGGTCATGATACCATTAATTGCCACTAATTAATTTATAATGAAATAATTTTATACTAATTGATTTATAATGAAAAAATGAAAATAATAATTTATAATGAACAAATTAAAATAAGCCATAAATTGATACTAATTAATTTATAATGAAATAATTTTATACTAATTGATTTATAATGAAAAAATGAAAATAAGCCATTAATTGACACTAATTAATTTATAATGAAATAATTTTATACTAATTGATTTGTAATGAAAAAATGAAATAATTTTATACTAATTAATTTATAATGAAAAAATGAAAATAATAATTTTTGTAATACTAACTATATTAACTTTTATTAATGAAATAATTTTTTTTAAATTAAAACTGAAAAAAAATGACAAAATAATCATTTTTATATCATATAAGGGCAAAAAGGACAATTACACAGTAAAAAGTTATTTACAACTTATGAGCCAAACACTCATCTGCTGCTTAAATCCATAATCTTGCAGCTGCACTAAACAGATTAATAGCTTATATTCACAGTTATAAACTATAATCTGTTAAATTATAATTTATAATCATTTTTTCACAGTTTTACCAAACGAGGCCAAAATACCCTTAATGTCCAATACTCGTCAAAATCCACATATTCCAAATAGCTAATTGCTAGAATAACTAAAATACAACGCTTTCCCATTGTACAACAATGCAGGATGGATTATACAGTACAATGTTACTATTTTTTAAGTGAAAGACGGGACTACTGAAGAAGCAGTTACCAATCCAGAGAGGAGTGCAACAATGAGCGCATTGTTGTAAGTGGTTGGTTCACCTTGCATTGAGTTGTTCCGGGAATCTATATAAGTCTCATTTTGGAATGGTCCTCCGACAAGTGCTCCAATTGCCAAATTTGGATTGGGATTGGTTGAGTTAAGCCATTTGAACCCATCTTCACAGCCAGTGGTGGCATCAACCGGAATTGAAGCCCCCCTGTGGTGTACATATTGAGGGTATTTGTTCCCATAGCCAACCAAATAGCTCATCTCCATCGGATTGTTGCCCAACACATACTCAACCTGAGCATAAGAGGTTGCTTAAGCAATTCAAAGAGTAACAACACTTCCATGAACGTTAATTGCAATTGCTGAGCTATATATTCAAGCTCTATTTTTTATTTATAGCTTCAAACTGAGCCATGAGAGTCCTTGAAACTAGTTCAAATTTTTTCAGTGGCAACATATTTCTTAAAGATTGGCTACAGACAACAATATATCGTTGTAAAAGGTATTAGAGGTCATTTTTCCTTAAGTTGCTTGCAAGCAAATCATTGTAACTGCAGCTTATAAGTTGCGGTATTTTTTAAACTCATTTTTCTTTTTAGTAAACTTTATTCGACTTTGAGTCAAAATATATTACTAGATTTATCTAGACTAAACAATTGCTTAAAAAAATAAATAAATAAATTTTGGAAATAAGTGTAAAAACAAAAATAAGCAAACTTCTATGGGTTTTTTTAAAAGAAATAAAATTTGACTTATTCTAGTGAACTTTTTTCAATAATTTTTAATTTTTTAGAGTTTTTTAGTCTAGACGGATCTAAAAAAATTGAAATAATTTTTTTAAAAAAATAATAAAAATAAAAATAAGCCGCAAGAAAAAGTAACTTATATGCTGCTGACAAACCCTCATCTTTGGCTGCCTGTGCTATCCAATAGCACACATAAATAGGGCAAAAAAATACTGTTTAAAGTGGCCAAAAAACTAATTCTAACGTATTCCAAGTGACACCTTAAACCACAAAAAATAACAATTAATCGGGTTCGATCAAGGGCAGCTCTGTGAGTGTACCAAAAATTGGGATGAAATGGGCTGCTGAGATAATGCAGGCAAGTATATTTGTTTTGACTAGAAATTTATTGTTATTACATTTTAATTTGCATCTGAAAATTGAACACAATTCCAAGACTATAAGGGCATGTTTGATTGGGTGGATTAGAGTATAGGATTGGGATTATTAATCCGTGGACTCAATTATCCTATGTTTGTTTTAACATTTTAAATTTGTAGGATTATTAGTAATAGAGTAGGGGTAGAATTATTAATCCAATGGATATTAATCCAATTGGATAGTGAATACCACACTAATTTAATAAGATTATTAATACTTCACTACTAATCTTGTGAATCAAACATGACCTAAGAGCGTACCTGTGAAATGGCGAAATTGCGTAGGTCCATTGGCTTGAACAATTCCCCATCACAGTACAGAGTTGACGTCTGAGACCTGACCATGTAGTCGCTAAAAAGGACTGCTAGAAATGCAGAGGCTATGGGATATTGCAAGGCGTCCCACGGGCTGATCCATATCAGTCCTCCTGTATACCATCATATAGTACAATTTCTTGTTACTTCAAAGCATGAAAAGTTATACTCCAAAGATCTCCAAATCCTAAATAACATCATAGAAGCATGATCATGAAAAATTCATGTTTATGATTGAAAAAATAATATCAGGAAAGAATGTTACTGTCGGTTTTGTGGGATGTGGCGGTTGGGGAATCTGGTAGTAGCCCACACATAAGTGCCTCCGCGGTTATCCTGTACATCTGGAGGTCAAGATTTTCTGCTGTTGATATTCCTTCTGCACCGAAGAAGTTTATCCTAGACAACAAAACCTGCTCCAAAAGTTGCAATTTTTTTTGAATTTTTTAGTATTCCTTCTCCCAATACACAAGGCAAGGTAGACTAGAATATTCATATTAAAAGCACAATTTCCATCAAATTAGAGACAAGATATTCTTTTTTCCGAGATTCAAAGTCAATTAAAAGGCAGCCCAATGCACGAGACTCTCGTCACTGCAGAGTCTACTGATGAGAGACAAGATTAAACAAAATCCATTGACATAGATGTTTTGATGTTCACTTGTTCTTGACGGTGTCGTGATCAAAAATTTCATTTGATTATGTTGCTTCGGTTAGTCTAGAAATGAAAACATTTCGGAAATGTTTTGGGAATGCATAAGAGAAATGAGAAAAAAGAAATTTAAAATGTTTAGGGATAAAAAAGCTAAAATCTATATAAATGTTGACAAAAATAATTGAACATGTTGACGTTTATAAATATTGGAAGGCCATTATAAAAATAAAAATAAAAATTTAATTTAAAGATTTGGCATTCTAAAAAAAAATGTTTAAACAATGCAAAATTCTGGGTGATAGTAGGGATTAAAAAAGGGACTTGACCATGCTCATTTTATATTATCCACCTTATCTCTTTTCTTCTATCTAGTTTTCATAGTCTAATAAATTTAATACTTTTCTTTATTATCAAAATTTTCTTTTAAACAAATAGAGACAAATAAAAAATAAACATATTATTAAATATTCTTAATAGGTGTCAAAACAACTCGTTGTTGTTGTTGTTGTTTTGGAGCGTTTCGGTTGAAATATTAGAATTTCAGTATATATTTCATTTCATTTCAGTCCTATGAAATGCAAACGTTTGGATTGTTTCAATCAAAAAGAAACAAAATTTTGATATAGCACACCTGAGTTCCGGCTAACTTGTTATCCCAAGTAAACCAACTAGGACTTCCCCAATTTGCAAACGCGTTCCCATTTTGAACCGTCACATATCTAAGGTACGACTGATCTGCAGTTGCAAGATAGAGCCACGACGCTGCCCACAAGAGTTCATCCCCGTATCCTGTAGAATTATAGTATGTCTGAACTTGTGGGATGCTAATACTGTAAGAAGCTCGATAAGTATCAGCAAAAGCAAACAATTGTTGGGCATGCCTGAGGAGCAATTTCGAGTAAGTGGAGTCGATTTTCTTGAAAACTAGCGATGCAGATGCCATGGCTGCCACGGTTTCAGCTGCAACTTCTGTTCCTGGATGTGTTGTGTTAATCTGCGTGAGAGGCCTCATTTCTGTCATGAGTTCAGGCCTTTCCCAACACTTGTGGTCCAATTCTGGATCACCCACCTTTCAAAACACACACACACGTACAAAAATAATAGCTAAGAAGCTTTAACTACCGAGTTTATAGAGATTTGGCTTACTAAAACACTTTGTGTGCGCCAGTAATTGGGGTTTCAATTCTGAAAATGGCAACAATTTTGCAAGTATAACACCACAATGTACACACATACATGAACATGTAGCATGCACAAGGAAAAGTGACAACCTTGTGTAAGGTCCAGTTTGAAAATAAAAAAAAGAACCCCTCAAATTGAATTTTGGCCATTTCTCTATAAAGCTTGCACTTGAGCTTGAAAATGAAAACGATCTTCTTCAACCAAGGGTACTAGACCCTCCTTGCCCTATAAAATTCATATGCCCTAGCGGTTTTCTGGTTATTATACTTCTTAGAATTATAGATTGAAAAGCTGACCCATAAGAAAGGCTTTGAGCTAAAAATAACATTAAAGAGTACAACTCTAATCTAAGAAGATCAAGATCTTGATGAAAAGAATAATTATTATCACGATAATGGATAATGAAAAATGCCTGAAATGAAGTGTGAAGTTTTATGCTAAATTAGAAGGAAAATCTGACTGAGATCATTGTTAGAAAGGAGATGGGATGCCACATTTCAAAATCCCCAAACTTCGTGAAACAATCAAACTAAATCTAGGAATTGCATGAACCGCAAATGAGTCTATATATAGTAGTTTTCATTTAGTATGTGATGTCGAAAGAATTCTACGTTCAAATTTCATAGTTAAAAAAGAGTTCAGCAACCTGAATATAGAGCACATTGTCAGAAGGGTGGGCATTGATGAGATAATCAGTGATCCACTTGAGCGAGTCTTGAGCATGTTCCAACTCCTTTACTGCTTTCATGTGGTCTCCATACTCGAGGATGGACCACGACAAAACTGTTGCAGTGAAAGCCATTGGAAAGCCAAACTTGATTAAATCTCCGGCATCATACATTCCCTTGGATAGGTCTAAATTCACGTCCCTTCCATCTTCTAGTCCCGAATCACCTCTCCAAGCAATCCTGTTGTTCACCAACTTACCAGCTGCAAACACAAAGTAGTAACATCCTCAAGCAATCAAATACCAACTTAAACGAGAATGAAACTACTTCCCCTTCTGGAGACATGAAAACAATACCAACACCAGTTTTTTCATAATACTCAGGCAGATTTCCTTTTCACCTTTCTGCTATCAACTTTATCACTTGGAGATTTTCAACAAAGAAAGAGAATTTTCACACCATTTTGGAAAAATCACTTTCCAAGCTCAAGTTTGGATAGAAAGTGAAACAGAAATAATTGAAAACAGAGAACAGAAATCGAAACACAAAGTAGTAAAATCTCAACACTTGAAATTTTTGACAAAGAATGAGAATTTTCACATCATTTCGGACATATTATTCTATTTTTGAAGAGCATGAGTGAAATGAAACAGAAAAGGAAAACACAACCAAACAAGCCCTTACATTTTTGGACATCGAAAAATTGCATAGCAATGCTAAGAGCAGCTGCATATTTGTCGACAATGGCACCTGGAGATCCCGAAACATGGTGACGCCTTGAGTCCCAATGACAAAAACTCCTCCAAAGAGTGAGCAGAGATGCGGCGAAAACAAGAGCTGCGATCACTAATACAAGTAACCACCAGCCCCAGCCCCCGCCCCCGCCCCCCCAGCCCCTGGACTTGGACAATTCAGCTTCCATTGTTCTTCACAAAATCAAAAACATGTTACAAAAAACACACAAACAGGGTCCAGAGAACCCGGGCTCGGTCCATTTGATCATGGAATTGTCTTCCATAGATTTGATTTCAACAATCTCAAAATTTGAGTCACGAAAACAGCCTCTCTAAAAATAAGAATAAGATGGGTTTTTATGCCGGTAATGATTTTGTTTTAGAAGAGCAGACAAGTTTTAAAGTACAAAGGCCAAAACGGCGAGGAACGGCTTGTTTTTCGTTTTGAATGCAAGAGAGAGAGAACACTCACTTGGGTCATTGCCTTTTTTTTGTTTTTTTCTTTCTTTCTGATTGGACAACTTGATTCTGATTGGCTTTCCGATGGAATCATTGCCAAAATATTACAAATTCATTGCTAGGATGCGACTCTTGCACAACTTAAGATTCTCCGAAGAATTATTCGAAGGGGAAGGAGGGCGAGTCTGACAATGCATAAATTAAATTTAGGACACAAATAGACAAATAGGATTTTTGAGAAGTGGATCTTACAAAATAGAATAGTATTATATATATCAATTAGTATATTAATTAATATATCAATTGATGATGTGACATAATTTAAAAAAAAAATTGGTATTTATAATTTATATAATGAGTGAGGATAATAATAATAGCATAACCAGTATTGGTACACTAATTAGTGCATGTAGCACCACCGCACAAAATAAGCTTTATAAGATTTTGTTCATTCATTTATATTTTGTATCCAATTTTGTGTTTGGTTTACTTGTTCCTAACATTGTTGTTTAACCGATTGTATTATTGTCATGGTTAATTAACCATTTTAATTATTAATGAATATCATTTTACTCTCTTCATTTATGAATTTATTCATATTAACCCTTTCAATTATAAAAATTATACAAATACATATATTTTTTGAAAATGGTTTATAAGGAGTGAAAATGATATATTTTTATAATTGAGAAGGTCAAAATAATAATCGCTAAATTTGAGAATGTCTTGATATTTTTGAATTCTTTCTATTAAATAATAATTAATTTTAAATTATTTTAAAAAATAAGCACTTACTAGTTAAGATGGAAAATATTATACCACATAGATAATGTTTTTAATTTTTGAAATTTATAAAATACAAAAACACACGTATCATTTAATCAAGGATGGAACTGCGGTTGAAATTCCAAAGAGTCAAGATATGTCATTTATTATAAACGGTCATATTTCAATTTAAGAATAAGAAATAAACTACATGAAATACTAATATTTATTTGAGCTGTGATTGAGGCCTCGAAATTGAGGCTCGAAATTGCCTCAAATGCAATTTTTTTTTTTTTCTGGGCTAATACATTACAAAAATAAATAAATAAAAATAATAATAATAATAACAAGCAAAGCATCAACCCAAAAAAAAAAAAAAGGAAATTCGAGCCAAATTTGAGCCAAAAATTTGAGGCCTCAATCTTTTTCCTATTTATTTAGTATGAACAAAAGAGAAGTCACATCTATTCAATTTTAACATATAAATAAAGAGAAATTATAAATTAATTAATTTTTTTAATATGTTAATTCAATTATCTATTAAAGTGAAAATTAATATTTTTTAAAAAAATTTAAAATTCTTCAACACGTCTTGCATGAATCTTATTAATATTCAATTATTACAAGAAACTCGAGTCTATCTCGGGAGTTTTTGAAAGTTCTCATGATGGTAGGGAAGATGGTTAAAAACTTACATTTTGATTTTTTTTTACTATTTTATGTAAGAGATAATGTGACTCAAAATAAATTAAAAGTTCCCTTTTTCACTTTTCATTCATGTTTCCAAAAAGGCCCAAAATGTGATTAATATAATAATATTATTAAATTTTGCTTTAAAGAAATAACAGAAAAAACAAACGAAGGTTAGATGTGTTGGTGTTGCAATTCTTCTTTACATCACATAGAAGCTTCTTTTTCTTTTTCTTTTTCTTTTTTTTTTAAAAAAAAAAAAGGAAAATTTAAGGTTCAATATATTCATCCATCAAGTGACAGAGGACCATATGTAATAAGTAAAAAATTATGCATAGCATGAAAACTATCCAGCATTTCTCACTTTAAATAAGACCATGGTGGCATAGCCCCTCATGGTCTACCAATAATTCCATCCCTGCATAATTTAATCATACCAAAGTGATTATGTTACTCAACAATCCCTGCATAGGGGTGGGCGCGAGTCGGTTGCGGCCATAAAACCTCCAATTTGTCATCCGTCTACCAGATTGGCGGATTGGAGAAAATCAATCCGCATCCGTCCGCCAATCCGGCGGATGTGGATTGAGCGGATTGGCGGTTTGGCGGATGGATGCGAATCAGTTTGGCAGTTTGAAATTTTATAAATTTTCAACATAGTTCAACTTGTATACTTCCTCAAAAAAAAAAAAAAAGTATTACAGTCAATGACTTAAAAAAGTATTACAATTACTGCATGCCTTATCCAAAGAAAGAAAGTTTGAAACTTTAAAATATCAAAATCACTCAATGCCTCATCCACATATTACAATCACAGATGCCTTATCCACATAAAGTATTACAATATGTGGTTCTTAAAATATAAAAACAATTCAAACCACCAAAACCATGAACATAGCAGTAGTAGAGTTTGTATGTCTCTGTATTGTTACATTTATATATGTTTTTGAAAACAAAAACCAACCAGCATATATCATATTTTCTATTTATTACTTTTAGAGTTAGATTTAAAAATCAAAAAATATAAATAAATACTAATATGTTTATTTTTTTCAATTCAAAAAATATATTCAAGTTGAAAATTTTTTTTCAACTGAATATTTAAACTGTTTTTCAATTGAAGACACAAACAAAATATTTAAATAAATTGAAAGCACAAAGTCTTATAAATTATTAAGGATGCTCGCGGTTTGGCGGTTCGGTTGCGGCCAAAGGGACCTCAAATCCGTCATTCGTCCGCCAAATTGACGAATTGGAGAAAATCAATCCGCAACCGTCCGCTCGTCATCACGCATCCGTCCAAAATGCGGCAGATCGGTTCGATTTAGCCTCCGTTTGGGAAGTGGGTTGGCTTTTTGGCTTTTTGACTATTTTAGCCTGGTTTGGGAAGGGCTTTTTGACTTTTTGGCTTTTTTGACTTTTTTTGTGAGAGAGGATTGTAATGATTATGGGTTGGATTTGATGTTTTATTTTTTGTGGCTAAAATAACCTATTTTGTTTTTTATAGCTATTTTAGACAAAAAAGCCTGGGCTTTTCCTTCCCAAACAGAGGCTTAGTCGATTTTGACGGATCGATATATCCGCTGCTCACTCCTTTTAATCATACCAAAGTGATTATGTTATGAAAAATGATTTGCACCCCCAATTTTGAAGACCCCCAGTGACCCCCAGCTGATGTGGCAGTACGTGATTGGTTGAATTTTTTTTTTTTTTTTTTTTTTTTTTACTTGGCCCTATGAAATGGTTAAAATTAATTATCATTTTTTTTAAGATTTAACTTTTGTAACAAAATAAATTCTGAATTTTTAATTTTATCAATTTAAATCTTAATATTTTTATTTGTTTTCAATATAAATCATTTACATATTTTCATTAAGTAAAACCAATGGAAAAAAATAGAATTTTAGTCTTTAAAATCAATGAAAAATGTATTTTAAATATTTCATGTACACCTATATTGAGTTTAATGGTTAAAATCATAAATAAATAAATTAGAATTTAAATTAAAAAATTAAAATTTCATAATTTATTTTGTTATACGGGTTAAATTCTGAAATTTTTGTTGTAATTTTTCCAAAATAAAAAATTGAAACTCATGCTCAAGTTTACAAAACTTAAGGAAAGTCAACAAGTTTCAATTTAGCCTTCGTTTGAAAAAATAAAATAAAATAACAAAAAAAAAATAAAACAAAACAAAACAAAACAAACGAATAAACTTTTTTAGCTTAACTTTTTGGTTTTTTGATTATTTATCTTGGCTAAAAAAAGTTTCGCTTGGAAAAACTTTTGATTTTTTTTTTTTAGTAATTTTGTAAAAGAAAAAGTGAAATGATTATGATTTGGATGTGACATTCTGTCTTATTAATTTTTTAATCTATTTTGTTTTTTTAAGTATACTGGCTCAAATTGGAAACCGCCACTCTACTTTTTTTACATTTTTTTTCAAAAAAAGTCAAATAATGTCAAAAAGTCAATTTTTAACCATTTTCTCAAAACAACCCACTAAATTAGTCACAACTCACTTGCCAAACGAAGCCTAATAAATTTACAAATTAAAATTTATTTTTATTAAATTCATTCCCAAATATAAATTTATTTATTGCATGATATGGTTTTAGGAAAATGAGTGAGAGCACTAATTAGTACTATCACTAATGATGTGACAGTGGGCCCCACCAGGAATGATTTGATGTTTTAGCCTTGGTGTTGTATTTTTTTTCTTTTTTTATTGAGTGTCATGTCATTAGTGGTCCTTTTATAGCTCCAAAATTAATGGTCTCTATCATTGTTGGAAATTAAATTTCAAATATTTCTACTGTGTTACTTTAATGTGATGTAACAAATTTTCGTTGATTAACATAACCATTTTAATATTTTTAGTATGATTGATTAAGGATAAATACAGTTTTTTTTTTTAATACCAAGGGTGGTAGTCCAATAAAAATTTGGATTGCCCCACGAGGCGCTCCGGGTTCGATCATAAGACGTCCAGGTGGTAATCTACTTTGCCAATCAACATGTCTTGAAATCTAGGTATACGATCTATTAACCTTTAATATTATTTAATAAAAAATTAAAACTTATAACATTTTTCCGTCTATTATTATTTCGGTGGAGCTCCCTCCATTGAGTTGAATTAAACCAAAGGTGATCCACCACCACTATTTATTTTATCCATCATAACATTATTTCACCATAAATATGTAATAACCCTCATCACTGCTTACCGATAAACATTGATTACCGTTAAACTGGACTGATTATGACTGATAATTGAACTAATTAAAGTACTGAACTGACTGACTGAAATTGAAACTGAATTAGCCAAGTATATCTATTGTGTTGCATATTCTATCTGTTTGATTGATTATTTATCTGTTCATGTCTTTGTGTTTAAACTGCTAATTGAAGGCCTTATCGGCAGCCGAACCGGGAACTGATTGATGTTTCATGATCATCATAATTTATGTGATTTTGTGGTGTAATTATCAAAAAACTGATTAGGTATGATTAAATTAGATTAAAATGAGTTAAATTGCAATGGTTGCCGTAATTACACAAATGCCACTCTAGTGGCCCACTACTTGGACCTTCTTGAGACTTGATTTCACTTAGGAGCAACATTTGATCAGCCTTTTCCTTGAGTTCCACCGAGTAGAGAGAGAGATGAGAGCTTTAAGAGAGAATTGAGTTCATGTTTGTGAATTGGCTTGAGAGACTTGAAGGAAATTGAAGTGTATTTGCATATTTGAGCTCCCTCACTTCTAATTCTACACCTAAAGTAGATCATTCATCTTCTTAATTGTGTCTTTGAGTTGTTCTTGTATGATTCATGCTTCATTGTAGAACTAAGTCATGAATTGGTTCACTTCGTTGAATTAGAGTTCATATCATGCATGCATGTGTTCTTGGTTGAATTTGAAGTTGAGTTCATGGCAAAATTGTACATGCATGTCCATCATTAGGCTTAAGTCCATGTTTTCAACTTGTTTTTGGAACAATTGGCTCAATAGAGCATCAAATTGAAGCTTTGAAATGGTTTGAAATCATGCATATCATGTTTGAGGATTGTTCTTGAAAAATGATTTGAAATTGGGTTTGAATTAAACACCATTGGGCTTTGATTTCTCAAATTGAGCTTTGAATCATGTTATTCTAAGTGTTTACAAGTGTTTTCTGGAAATTCAGCCCAAGAGGTCGAGTTTTGAGTTGTTAAAACTTGGTTTTTGGCTTGGAGGTGCAATCTGGGTTTTCCAGATTTTGCACTTCCGCTCGAGCGGGGAAAGTGCCGCTTGAGCGGGGAATTCGAGCATCCAGCATCTCTCACTGTTTTACAGTTCGCTCGAGCGTAGTATTGGACGCTCGAGCGGAGGCACGTGTTTTACGCTCGAGCGGGCGTCGAGCGCCCGTCGAGCGGAGATTTCACCCATCCAGTACTTTTACAGTACGCTCGAGCGGGGGATTTGCCGCTCGAGCGTGTACCTTTGTTGCATGTCCGCTCAAGCGGGACTCTGTTTTTCTGAAAATCCTGAAATTGCTTTCTGAGTGCATCTTTGCATCCTCATCCCATTCTAGGCATTCTTAGGCCTAGTTTAAGACATCTTATTGAGGATATAGATGTAGAACACACCGAGGCAAATTAAGGGTTAAGTTATTATCTTTCCCAACTGTGTAGCTTAGTGTGTTCAATCTGTTAACTGTGTAGGGTTGGCGACTGGAGAGACGCGTTCTAGCATACTGTAGCCCAAACTCTGTGAGTAACGATTGTGTAAAGATATGTTCAATAAATGATTATCTTTTGAATAACTGAACTGTACTGTTACTGTCAATTGAATGAATGTATGTCCTATATTGTGAACTATACTGTGGCATTCTTAGCACCTACTGCTTACTGTTACTGTTACAGAGATCTCTGTCGGTTCCCTCGTTGGAACCACTACTGTTTACTGATTGATGGCCATCATTACTGTTCGGTCTTTTATGACCTACTATTTACTGTACTGTTATGCTAATGGATGTACCACATATGACTGTACTGACTGAGCGACTGAAATACTGTTTAAATGAACTGTTTTCATACTGTAAGGACATTCATTCTTAACCTCTTTACGCATTATGTTATTCACTGGGCTTTAGCTCACTGCTCATATATATATGTAGGTGTACAGGCACCAGACCGCGGCTAGGAGCGTCAAGGTTACTCCAGTTTTGTCAAGCCAGCCTATGTGCCTCACTGCGAGGTTCCGAGCCTATCGTGCTAAGGCTTAGGGGTGTTTTAGCGTTCCCCCTTCTATACTGTCTTACTGTTTTGTAATAACTGAATGGATTGTATAGACTGAATGTTTACTGTACTGTTATGTAAGGGATTGAGTCCCTGTTCTGAACGAGTGTAAATACTGTACATACTGTTTATGTTACATGAATGAAAAGTCTTTTTGCATACAGACTGTCACAGCTCGTTGGACATTATTTATTTACTGTATTGGCTTCCGCCAGGCCCTGTACTCTGTTTTACTGTATTACTGTTAAGCAGGCCTTCGGTAATCTCGGATTACTGGCCGGTTACGGTGCTAAACCCATAGGGCCGGGTTTGGGTCGTGACAAAATACCATCATAATTTCAATACTACTACAACAATCGATGCTTCTACTATCACCACCTCTTCACCACTAAATTTCCTCCACCACTCTCCACCTCCACCACAATTCCTCTGCCATAGCCACCAGTATCATTCAATCACGTTTTTTTTTCTTCTTCAAAATTACAAAAGAGATCATTCAATCACTAGAATCATAAAGCCATAAATTGAAGCACTAATTGATTACAATCTTCAATTTGTTTTCTAGTAAACAACCATAAGATAATAATAATTTTTTGAGTTAATATTAAATATAAAAACTAAAAAAATCATTATACAAATTTTAATTTAAACTTTGGACAGTGCTTCTCTCTAATTGAGTCTCCGTGGATTCATTACAGAGTGCACATCAATGATCTAAATTGTTCAATATTTAGAATTCATTGACTACTTCATCCTTATAAAAAAAAATTACGTTAATCGAATATCAATAATCGTTGACAAAAATTTGATCTAATCAAATGATTATTAATATCCGATCAACGTAATTTTTTATAAAAATAAAATACTTGACAAGCCTTAAAAACTAAACTGCTCCAAACATCAATGTAAACTCTGTGATGGGCTTACAAAACCCAGCAACACGTTTCAACCTAATTTTAAACTAGTGATGCTAAACTTTTATGGGTTCGTTGGGAATGTGAGTTGACTTTTTGACTTTCTAACTATTTTAATCTGGGACTGCAAAAACCTCATTTGCGATAAAATTTTTGATTTTTATAAGAAAAAAATTAAAATAACTACGATTTGAATATAATATTTTATCTTATTAATTTTTTAATTTATTTTATTTTTTTATACCTATTTTAATCCCAAAGCCAAACGAAGGCTATAACGAAGCCCGATAGAGTTTTCATATTTGACACCACCACCACCACCATCACCACCCCAATCTCTCTACCTCTAGTCTAGCACACCATCACCACAAAGTCCATAACCACTATCCCTCCATCTCAACCATCATCTCTCATAACTGCCTCTACCACCACACTATAATATAAAAATAAAAAAAATTTATCAAATAAATATCACACACAACTTGCTTTAATTCCACACTTGAAATTTTTATCAAATGAATTTTAAACTTACAAAATTCCCCATTCTACCACATAATTTTCAGTTTTTTGAGCTTTCAAAGCCCCAAAAAGGTAATGATAATGAACGAACATGGGGGCTTAGCTCTTGAAGATGGAGGTTGGAGAGAGAGGGGCAGAGTCAAGCTGGTAGAGATTGAGTGCTGGACCAACGAACCTGAACAAAATCCAAGCCCCAATCACAATAAAAATGCAAGCGTAAGCGAGCTTGTTAATCCAGAACAACAAGCCCTTCTCTCCCATGTAAAGCTCTATCGCCTTCTCTGTCATGCTCATCGATTCCCAATCCTTTGTCGCCACCGTACCCTTCTGCTCTGCCTTCTTCGGTCCCCCATCTTGCTGTCTCGATTTCCTTCTCGAACCTCTCCGGAATCGGATCTCGACGGCGTCCGGCGGCGTTATAGGCGGCGGAGGCGGTGGTGATGCGTTGCCGCCGTCGTTGGTGGTGGCGTTGGTGGTTATTCTGGATTTGATGGCGATGAGAGAGAGAGATCGGAGGGGGCGAAGATGTTGGGGAGGAGATGAGGGAAATTGAGGGGAAGAATGAGTGAAAGGTTTTGTTGGTGTAAGAGACATGACTGTGGTGGTGGCGTTCATGGCTTTGGAGGAAGGGAGGGCGTGTGTGGATGGGAAATAATTAGTATCTAGTTCGATGGGATTTTCTTATCCTATTCTACATGAGGAAACCCTGGGGAGTTTGTAGATTTTTATTTTATTTTTTTAAGTTAAAATATTTGTATTTGGAAAATAAATTCATATTAATAATAAAGTTTATAAACTTTAATATTCGTAAATATTTTTATGAGTGTATAATTATGTTTTAGAGTAACATTTGATTTGTAATTTTTCTTCAAAAATTTTATGTTAAATTACATTGACTGTTCTTTTAATTTAAAAAAATTAAATTTTATAATTTTAATATTGACTTTCTTTTAAATAATATTGAAAAAATGCCATATTGCATTTATAGTATTGTGTAACCCTTATTAACACCATCACTAGTTAATCTGAGGGTAAAATTGTTCATTCAACTATGATTATGGGAAAAAAAATTATGAAAATTTATTTATTTAATGAAACAAAACCACTTATTTTTTAGTTAAAAGACAATTTATTTTTACCAAACAGACCCTTACTATATTCACATGAGAAACCAAAATTTTTTTTTTATTATTATAACTTACATGAGAAACGATTTCAATCAATGAAATTAATTGCTAGACAAATATCATTTTTATTGATGAGGTTAGTTGTTGAATTTATGAAAGATAAATAAATGAATTAAAAGTTTTTTATTTTCTATTTTTTTAAGAGGGGATCGACTAGCCCTGTTATTTTAACAATTGGGAGAACTAGCAACCAATATCAAAATGGTTTTCAAAGGATGTGTTGGTTATTTGGGCCTAACCAAACTAAGGGGCCGGTTGAGAATATATATTTTTTTGGTGATTTTTAATTTTTTTTAGTTAAAATATGAGATGAACAAAATTTATATGTTTGAGATCATCTTTTTTAATTTTTTTACAAAAAGATTTGCAAAAAATATAGTGAATGAAGACGAATCTTCAATTTTTTTGATATTTGTTGATTTTTAAATTTTTTTTTAATGACTTTTAGATTATTTTACGCACTTGCCAAATGAGGCTTAAATCTTAGATCATCTCCAATGGCAAATGTTATAATAGTATTGCCATTGCTATAATTTGTCAACGAATAGTAGTAAATTGTCAAATTATAGCATTATTGTTTGAATAGTCACATGCTATTTTGGCAAATCTCAATCAACTTTCACTCTAATTTTATAAGTGTTGTTTGGCTATAGGTTTTTTAAAATATTTTTTATTGTTTATTTTTTATCTTTTATGACATTTTAAAAAAATGAAAAAATATATATATATTTATATTCTACCCGACTAGACAAAAATAAAAATAAATAAATAAATATAATTCATCCCACCATTCACATACCACTACAAAATAATAATAAAAATAAAAATAAAAATTTAATTTCCATTTGAGATCATTCCAAATGCCCCTCACACATTGATCATTTCCAAATCCTAAAAAAAAATCATTTCCATTCCAGATCCTTCTACTCTTTCTCTCTCTCTCGATCTCTTCTCTCTTCTCTCTTTTGACCTCTCTCTTTGTTTATCTTTCGTCTTCCATTATCTCTCTCTTCTACACATCAAATCTCTTTACCGATTCAAGTCTGTATCTCGTTCATGGCACTAGATCTCACCCAAACCCACTCTCTCTTATCTTTCGTCTTCCATTATCTCTCTCTTCTACACATCAAATCTCTTTACCGATTCAAGTCTGTATCTCGTTCATGGCACTATAATCTCCGATCTCACCCAAACCCACTCTCTCTTATCTTTCGTCTTCCATTATCTCTCTCTTCTACATATCAAATCTCTTTACCGATTCAAGTCTGTATCTCGTTCATGGCACTATAATCTCCGATCTCACCCAAACCCACCCTCTCTTATCTTTTGTCTTCCATTATCTCTCTCTTCTACACATCAAATCTCTTTGTCGATTCAAGTCTGTATCTCGTTCATGGCACTATAATCTCCGATCTGACCCAAACCCACTTCACTCGAAGATTCATTCTCATAGATGAGTCTGATTCTTATTGCCTCTTCTCTATAGACTACTAAATTGACAATATTCCAATCATAACAAACCTCGAATTCCCATCTGTTGAAGCCGAATCCTATGAGGATTGGGGTGCTTTTTCTAGGTTGCTAAAGTCGAATACCAATCTGTTCGTTGTGGGATTTTACACATAGCTTGGAAATATTAGGATTTTTGTATTATTCTCTCTTTCTATTGAGATTTGTTGGAGTTTCTCTACAAGTTTTTTTTCCCCTTTTTTATTCTTAATATTTTGTTCCTATAATCTTTATTTTTTTCCCTTATTTTTTGATCTATTTTTTTTCTCAAAAAATATTGGTTGTATAATTTATTTTTGAAAATTTCTATGTAAAAATTTGAAGGAAATTTAAATTTTTCTTGGTATTCTCTTGTTCAATTCTTGTTTGTTGCTATTTGTGGGAAATCAAAAACGGTTGGTTGTTGTTGAACTGGAAAGTTTGGCAATTGCCAAAACTCTTGTCAAATTTGGCATCAGTTATAGCATTGTTATAATTTAGCAAGGGATATGGCAGATCACTGCAGAGCATTTTTTGTGCACACCTGCTATAAAATGACTTTGGCAACTCCAAGGGCAAATGCTATAACAGCATTGCCATTGCCAAATTATGACAATGAATAGTAAAAAATGGATGAAAAATAACAATGGTGCTCCAATGGTTTAGCTGTCATTTTTGCTATTTTGGCATAAAAACTGGTGTTTTAAGACGACCAGCCGGACATCCGGCCAGACGAAAACACCAATTTTTGTGTTTATTCAACAAAAATGGCGGCCAAGAGGGAGGAATGTTTTACTGGGAGCAGGAGGAAGGGAAGGAGGGAGAGGTTTCTTGATGAATGGGACAAATAGTAGTTGCCAAAGCTTGTGTCAAATTTGACACAAGTTTTGACATCTATATAATAAGGGAGAAGAGTTTTTGAATTTGTGTGAAAATGTATCAGAGATAAATTTCAATTTAACGGCTGAGATGATTCTTAAGCTTATATCGATGGTTCAGATTGGTTCAAATGAATGATGATTGATTCATTCACGCATGCACGTCTGACCCAATTTGACACAAGTTTTGACATTTCTCAAATATAGCAGCTGCTATTTATGGCCATTAGAGTGCTGGAGCTACCAAATTATCGCAATAGCAACTTCGATGACAAGCCATTGGAGCTACTCTTATAGCTCTTTCTTAACTGTTGCGTCACCTGCCTTACCTTCCTTGACTAAACTTATATCATGGGAAATTAATACCTGTGTTATTCGTCTCATTAGAAACAAAGTAAATTGGAATGAATGGTTAATATTAAGAGTAATGTTAGAGACTCTAAATATTTTACTAATATTTTTATCAAATGTCTTATATAGGTGTGAGATCCACATGAAACCTACGTGATGTGAGTCACACACCATGTGAAAAACATTTGGTAAAAATATTGACAAAACATTTGAGGTTCCTAACATTTTTCTAAGGCTAAATGTGGATTGTCACCAAATTCTTGGAATTGTATTGAAGAAATTGCAGTTAACTTGTTTCCAGACAATTGTTAAAGTGGTTATGGAGATGATACTTAATCAATTGTTAAAGTGGTTATGGAGATAATACGTAAGCACTAAAATGAGTATTTTTATTTTGAATCTCTAAAAGGAGGTTGACATGTTTTGTAATATAATTATTAATATACTACCAATTATCTTATGTCAAAATAAATAAATTCATTAAATAAAATTAAATGCTACTAACCTGCCAAACAAAGCATGTCTAGGCTTAGTTTGGAAACATGTTATTCTGGTAATTTTTTGACATTTTACAAAAAGATATATAAAAAAAATATAAAGAATAATATGACAACTTAAAATGACTTTTTGACTAAAATTGAAAATTACTAAACAAGGCTTAAGGGATGTTTAAGAATAGGAATATGTTAAAAAAAATAAAAGGTCAACTAATTTATTATTTTTTTATATATTTTTTTTGGTAAAGATTTTAAAAATTATTATAAAAAAATGAAGGATTTATGACAATTAAGAGTTTACCTTTTCAAACTACGACATCTGATGTTGTTGTAGATCCAACGGAGGATGAGTCAGGTAGATCCATGCTTCCAACAACTTCATTGGTCTCGAAGCTCGTTGGTGGTGCCTGCAAAAAGGTCCGACGGGGAATGGAAGTCCCCCAGCGGACCCTCCGACGATTAAGCTAGAACAAAAGAGATCGACCGTGTAGAGAGAGAGGGGAGAGAAAATAACGAAGGACTTAACCTTTGATGTGTCTTGGAAGCTTCCTTATATCCTTTGTCCATCATTTCCTTGTCCACTCCGACTTGTTGTGTCGGCCTAAAGTCTATACTCTAGTTTGCATTGTTCACGGTAAAGTTGCATGTTCCGATGTGAAAGGGTTGTCACATTTAATGCTGTGGGAGCCTCATTAATGGCTGATGTGTGGTGTAATAACTCTGTAGGATCTTTGTATACTTATGTGTCTAGGCCCTGTTTGGCAAGTGTTTGAACGTTATTGGTCCTAGCCTAGTATTAATTTCTCAGAGCTATTGCGCTTCGATAACCGGGGTGTGGACTGGCCTCTGTTCCGTGAGTTGGGCCCTTGTAGGTTGGGCCCTCTTGGGTGCTCATCGGTATCAGTAGTCCCCCAATCTTAAGTGCAGCTTTAGTTCAACGAAGGGAATAAGTAAGAAGCCAATCGCAAGGAAGGGCTGACTAGGGGGACCGATCGTGAGGAGGGCCGACCGCGAAGGGGACCGAGCGAGAAGGCTGATCGTGAGGAAGGCCGACTGCAAAGGAGGGCCGAGTGAGAAAGCCGAGCATGAGGAAAGCTGACTGCGAAGGAGGGCCGAGTGGGAAGGTTGAGCGTGAATAAGGTCGAGCGTGAAAGGGTCCGAGCGTGAGGAAGGCCGACCATGAAGGAGGGTCGAGCAGGAAGACCGAGCGTGGTAGGCGGGTCGAAAAGTCAGAGACGGTGCACGGGGCTCGAGGAGCGATGAAGCACGTGATGATACGAAGT